TCTCTCTATATATATATATATATATATATATATATATATCACTCACAAAAATTAACTTGAAATGGATTAAAGACTTAAATGTAAGGCCTGAAATTCAAACTCCTAGAGGAAAACACTGTGATATTGGTCTCTGTGACCATTTTTTAGGTATAACACTAAAAGCACACTCAATAAAAACAAAAATAAACAAGCAGGACTACCTCAAATTAAAAAGCTTCTGCACAGCAATAGAAACAGTCAACAGAATGAAGAGGCAGCCTATGGGATAGGAGAGAATATTTGCAAACCAGCTAACAGATAAGGGGTTAATATCCAAAATGTATAAGGAATTCATACAACTCAATAGCAATAATAATAAAAATCTGATTTTAAAATGGACAGAGGGCATTTTTTCAAAGAAAACATACAAATGGCTAACAAGTACATGAAAAGATGCTCAATATCACTAATCATCAGGGAAATGAAAATCAAAATCACAATGAGATATTACCTCACACCTGTTAGAATGGCTATTATCAAAAAGACAAAGGATAACAAGTGTTGGCAAGGTTGTAGAGAAAAGAGAACCCTGTACACTGTCGGTTGGAATGTAAATTGGTGCAGCCACTATGGAAAAAGGTGTGAAAGTTCCTCAAAAAATTAAAAGTAGAACTACCATATGATCCAGCAATCCCACTTCTGGGTATATATCAGAAGGAAACAAAACCACTATCTTGAAGAGATAACTGCACCCCTGTGTTCATGGCAGCATTATTCACAATAGCCTAAACATGGAAACAACCTAAGTGTCCATGGATGGATGAACAGATGAGATATACATATAATGGAATATTGTAGAATGGTGGTTGCCAGGGGCTGGAGAGGTAATGGGGAGATGTTGGTTGAAGGGTACAAACTTGCACTTAAAAGATGAATAAGTTCTGGATATCTAATATACAGCATGACGATTACAGTTAACAATACTGTATTATATACTTGAAAGTTGATGAGAGAGTAAATCTTAAATGGTCTCACCATCAAAAAAAAAATTATGTGAGGTGATGGATGTGTTAACTAACCTTATTGTGGTAATCATTTCACAATGTATACATGTATCAAATCTTCACGTTGTATATCTTAAACTTACACAATGTTATATGTTAATTATATCCAATACATCTGGAAAAAAAAACTTAAAGAGGAGAAGGAGGGGGGGTTAGTTCTACATAAGGTGAAAGGCAGAAGAATCACATAATGTCACCACCCAAAAGGTTTCTTAATCATCTATTCAGGTATTTTAAGTTGGCATCCCAGTGGACTATATTCATTCTGAGATACGTTCTCTTTGGCCAACACAGGGTTTTTGTTTTGTTTTAACTAACCCAACTTTATTTATAAAGTTCTGAAATCCCAGACTCTCTGGAAAGATGGGAAGAGCTGACAAAGCAGAGTCCATATTCCAAGCTGTCAATAATCATTGGCTGAGATTTAACAGCAGGGAATCCCTTTAGACCTTCAGTCTCCTGCCACAGTTTCCAGTTCCAATTCTATAAAGCCAGAGCTTCCCTCTGTGCTTTGCAGCTACCAGTCATCAGAATTCGCAGGTCCTGAGAGTTTGATCCCCTCGCTCAATGTATAAGGAAACCAAGGACCAGAGAGGCAATAGAAAATGCCTAAAATCAGAGCCTGTTGTAAACAAAGTGGAGGGCTCGGGCGGCCCAGCTGGGATGGTCTTTGAATGACCAAGGACTTTGGCAGTTGTGGACATCTCAGGTTTTAGTGAGGACTTCGGGATCGGAGCTTTGAGCAGGGTAAGCTGCCCCCGGTCCCCAGCTTCCTCCCGGGGATCTCCTCCCCCACAACCCTAAAGTCCCATTCTCCACTCGCCGGAGTATCCCCAGCACCAGCTCCCGGAACGATGGAATGCACCCTGGGCTCCTCCAGAAGGAGTCACTGTGTAGCAGGAGCAGACACTGTCACTGGACTCCCTGGAAGACAGGGTCCTCGGATCCTCGGCTCCTTCACTGGCGACCCCCTTGGGGCGCCACCTAGGGGTGCAGAGGGCCTCCCGGGTTCTTCGGAATCGCATTATCTAAAAGGCCAAATGTAAATTAGCTAGCTAGTGGGAAGCAGCTGCATAGCACGGGGAGGTCAGCTCGGTGCTTTGTGACCACCTACAGGTTGGGGTAGGGAGGGTAGGAGGGAGACGCAAGAGGGAGGGGGTATGGGCATGTATGTATATGTATAGCTGATTCACTTCGTTATAAAGCAGAAACTAACACACCATTGTAAAGCAATTATACTCCAATAAAGATGTTTAAAAAAAATAAAAGGCTACTGCGTTCCATTCACACGGGGGTACGGAGGGCTCAGAAACTCTCTAGAGGGACCCACCCGCGCCAAGGAGGCTAGAGCTCCATGCGTCCGGCGCCCGGGGAGCACCAGTTGCAGGAGCCAAGTGCCCACCCTTCGCCTCCGCGCAGAGACAGGCGGGGACCCAGGGGCGGAGCCGAGTGCGGGGCGGGCGCACTCGGCCGCGCCCCAGAAGCCGGGAAGAGCTTCGCGGGCGGAGCGCCAACTCTAGCGGGAACCCGGAGACCGCGACTCGCCTGGGAAGCGCGCTGAGCCAGGAAGAAAGAGGAACACCTCCTGCGCAGTGAAAGTGCGGGTCCCCGAGGCCGCCAGGTGGACAGGGAAGCGCGGAAGCCCGTAGGTGCAGAGCTCCGCGCAGTCCCGGGGTTCCAGTGGCCGGGTGGGGGGCGTCGCCCGGGCTGAGGGGTCCGATGCCCACTTCTTTCTCTGGGGTCTTCGGGACGCTTTGCCTACTGCCGCCCTAGGGATGCGCCCTGGCTGGCTCGCACTAGAAGTGTGGGTGCCCTCAGATGACCAGGCCGGGGACCGTAGGCTGGGACTGGGCAGTGAGGCCGCAGACCGAGGGAGTCAGTGGGTGGGCGGGCGCCAAACTGCAGGGGAGGGCGTGGGCGGGGGGCACCCTCGGGAAGGTGAGCAGGAAAGGGGAGGAATTTTCTCTGGGAAAATGCCCGTTCACCGTCTCCTCCCTCCACCCTCAGTTTTCTTCCCGCCCAGAGATCTCACAGGCTTTGCTTCTCGAGCTTAAATTTCCGACGATTTCCGCCCCTGCTGGGGCAGCGCCTCCGGGAGCCGCGCGGCCGTGCCGGGTGGTTAATAAGGGAGAGGAAGGACGGGGATCTTGGAGGGGGCTGGTCAAGGGCAGCGAGTGCATCCAGCGGTAACGGGGAGGGACCTGCTCTAGCCCGGGCGCCCGCTGTCTCCTCGCAGGTCCCGGGACCGAAGAGCAGCCGAACGTAGAAGCCGAGAGGGCGCAACTCCCGCTTCTCCGTCTCAGGCTGTGCAGTGTCTGTGGGGGTTGGGGTCTCGCATGAGACGGAGAGGCGACCCAAAAAGAGGACGCCCCCAGCTGCGGTTTTGAGCCTCCCCTCGGGTACATAGTAGGCAGGCGCGCCGCAGGTTGGAGTGTCCCCGCCACCCTGCGACTGCTGTCCCTTCCGGGAGCAGTTCCTGTCCTTCGTTCTCCCTCTCTTCTCAGAGGGCTGGGCCAAACCTACTGTCCAGTTTGGTCCACTTCTTGCTTCCAGCACCCCACAGCCCCCACACTTGGAGTCCTTTCCAGGTGTGCTAAGAGGTGGGGGAAGGTGGTTCATGGCTGGATGGCCGGGAACCCCATTCCGCAGGTGCTGGATCTGGGTTCTTTTTCCAGTCGGTCAGACACAGCGAACCCAATAGTGCCCAATCTCCTGAGGGCTCAGTACTTCAGAGACTTATTTCCTCCCCCGCGGGCATCTGGAGGCACCAAGAATGTAGAGGACTTAGGCCATAAGAGACAGGTCAGCCCTCAGGCCCTCCTGGGTCCTCACTGACACTCCCCCCACGCCCCTTGGGTGGCTGTTTTCAGTTAAGCGAGGTCTTGGAGCAGCCACCACTTTCAGAGGACACAGACTTTGGTGACAAGATGTGGCACCTCCCAATCAAGGCTGATTCTGGAAGGGGAGCTGGGGGCCTGGTGAAGGGACAGCTCAAAAGTGTGGAGACAGGGAAGGGGAGCAGACAGAGGACTTCCTTCTAGAGCGGCCCAGTAGCACAGCAGATTTCCCTCTCACCCACAGGCCCCTCCACCTGCAGAGTCCTGGTCAGGATCCTCATTCATTCCTTCAGCAGATTCCTATCCAGCCCCTACTCTGTGCCAGGCCCTGGGCTAGGCAATAGGAATTTGGTTTACAGGAAAACTCGGATTCAGAGAGCATAAATCACTGGCCCAAGTTGACTCAGCCTGTCCATGTGAAAATGGTGATTTCCAAGTCTGTGGACTGGCCAGGACAGAGGGAGCAGTCCCTGCTTTGGGGGAAGGACCCTGCTGTATCACCGTCCTCTGGCTTCATTGTCCCTGGCCAACAGCTGGCACAGTGTTGTGACTGCCATAGAGTCCTGGGTCAGCTGCCTGAGCAGCTGGGAAAAACTTACAGAAGACCCCTGTGGGGGCTGCTGGGGGGAGGGTGACTGGGCAGTCAAACTGGTCCTGGTCCCTGGACAAAGGGCAAAGATACACATTCTTCTTGGGTGTCTCTGGGGAGTCCAGTCCATCCCATGCCCAGTCCCTCTCAATAGCCAAACAGCCAATAGAGGGTTTCCCAATTTCCGGAACTCATGTGTCCTCCCCTCTGTGCCATGGGTAGTTCTGTCTGTGGGTTAGGCACTGCGTCTGGTTGGCCTATACCTGGGAGAACTCTGGGAGGATGCTACCAGGTGTTCTCCTACATTTTGCCTATACCTGGGGGGACTCTGGGAGGATGCTACCAGGTGTTCTCCTATATTTTATCAACTGGTTGTGTCTCCTTCCAGGATCCATGATGGCGTCTTGACTCCCCACAGATGTGGGCAGGGTGCTAAGATCTCTGACCTCATGAAAGCAGAGGGTCTGGACCCCCAGCTCAGAGTACTCAGACCGCGGAGACTCCTGCATACCACTCACTGGCAAGCTTCACCATGGCAGCCCAGAATGGAAACACTAGTTTTGCAGCTAACTTCAGTATACCCCAAGACCATGCCTCCTCCCTCCCCTTCAACTTCAGTTATGGTGATTACGACCTCCCTCTAGATGAGGATGAGGATATGACCAAGACTCACACCTTCTTTGCAGCCAAGATCATTATCGGGGTGGCACTTGTGGGCATCATGCTGATTTGTGGCATTGGCAATTTTGTCTTTATCACTGCCCTTGCCCGCTATAAGAAGCTGCGCAACCTCACCAACCTGCTCATTGCTAACCTGGCCATCTCCGACTTCCTGGTGGCCATTGTCTGCTGTCCCTTCGAGATGGACTACTATGTGGTGCGCCAGCTCTCCTGGAAGCACGGCCATGTGCTCTGTGCCTCTGTCAACTACCTGCGTACCGTCTCACTCTATGTCTCCACCAATGCCCTGCTGGCCATCGCTATCGACAGGTGAGGATGTTGGGTAGGGGTAAACATGGAGGTGGCCCAGGTTGCCTCTTTCCTCACTTCAGCTCTAAACGTTGGCCTTACTCCAGATTCAAATGCGTGCCCATCTATCGAGGCAAAAGGAGACTTGATTTCTCCAGTTGTGGCTCATGTTCTCCCAAATGTGGACAAGAGTGAGGCTCCTGAACCTCCCAGCTCTGGGCCATGCCCCGATACACCACATCTGCTTCAGATACAGGCATGTCATATAACCATGAACCTCACCAAACACAAAAGCAAAAGCAGCATTTTAGGCAGGTTACTACTTAGAAGCCACATTAACTAGGTTAGCCAAGGCAGCTTCAAGTCAAGATAGCATGTGCGAAGTTTTTCCTGTAACCACTACCCAAAGATATAGAACATTTCCATCCCCTAGAAAGTTTCCTTGTGCCCCTTACCAGTCATGCCTCCCATCCCAGGCAACCACTGATCTGATTTCTAGCATCATAGTTTAGTTTTGCCTATTTTTTAACTTCGTAAAAATGGAATCATACAGTATGTACTCTTGTTTTTGGTGACTTTGTGGCAGAGATGATTTTAAAATAAGATTACAGGGTTTAGTTGCAAAAAAGAGGGAAGGACATTCTTGCCTTTCTTTTTTCCATACATCCATGTGCTTATTTGCATATATTTGCATGAGATGTTCTGTAAGTCCTTGATCTATTGTAAATTTATAAAGTAAAATTTCTAATAGCAGCTTCAGACAAATCTGATACATGTTTTATTTATGTAAATAGCTGTAGGCCAGCACTGGACTACCAGTGGCTCTGTTTGAGGGGGGCAATTTGTGTCACATCTTCTTGGTCCACCATTGTGAGTTATGCTCATTTTGATGATGTGTTTTTAATCATCTTTTTCCCTTTTATCTCCTTTCAACTCCAGTTTTTCCCTTATTCTCAGTGCTATTTAGGTTTGTGGTCCTTTTTAATCAACCCAGTGATTATTTTTCATTTATGATAATATAATACACATACAGGTATAAGAGGCATCTTCCTATTTATAACTTAATTCCTGCAAGAAAAAACAATTTTGTTATCACAACTTTGAGGCTCGTAAGCTCTGAACCCAGTGTTTATGAAACTTACCTATCAACCAAATGCACAAAATTCCCCAGGGGAAATGATACAAAGTATGTTTGGTACAATAGTACAAAGTCAGATTCCTGGGCCCCTACTGAATGGGAATCCCCTGAGCTAGGGCCTAGGCATCTGCATTTTACCCAACCCTGAATGATTCTGATGTTTACTCAAGTGAGTTACCACTGTTCTCATCACCTTTGTTCCATTGAAACCTTTGTCTTCCTAATGCAGTTGTGGGGTTTTTCTTTCTTTCTCTTCCTAATGTAGTTGTGGGGTTTTTCTTTCTTTCTCTTCCTAATGCAGTTGTGGGGTTTTTCTTTCTTTCTCTTCCTAATGCAGTTGTGGGGTTTTTCTTTCTTTCTCTTCCTAATGTAGTTGTGGGGTTTTTCTTTCTTTCTCTTTCTTTCTTTCTTTCTTTATATCTTTTTTCTTTCTTTCTTTCTTTTCTTTCTTTCTTTTTCTTTCTTTCTTTCTTTCTCTTTCTCTCTCTTTCTTTCTTTCTTTATATCTTTTTTCTTTCTTTCTTTCTTTCTTTCTTTCCTTCTTCCTTCCTTCCTTCCTTTCTTTTTTCTTTCTTTCTTTCTTTTCTTTCTTTCTTTCTTTCTTGTTTCTTCCTTCTTTTGTAACATGGGAGATTCTCAGGAAGCAACCATTCTGTTACAATACAGAGTGGTTCATTTTCCACCCCAAACCAGCTCTGCCTCAGTCAGCTTCCAGCTCTGTCAGCCATTCCACCATCTCCCAGTCACCCAAGCAGGAGATACTACCATCATTCTTTTCCTTTCTCCCTGTTCTACTGCCACCCACACACCCCTACACCAGGTGCCGCCCTACCCCAGGTCCTGGCAATAGTCCCTCCAGCTTCATCTCTTGGCAAGTCATGGGTGGACCATCATAATGCTCCTCTAACTTGTCTCTTCACCCCTTCAGGAGCCCCTGACTGTCCCTTGGAATCTATACTCATCCATATTAAGCATCAGAATATCACCACTGAAGAGTCTTTCTAATATATCTCATTCCTTACAAAACCTCCAAAAGTTTCAATGCCTATAGAACACATGCCAAATCCTGAGTCTAGCACCCCAGAGTCTTTGTAGTCTGATGCCAATCTGTCTTTTAATCTCATGCTGTGTCTGGTGACACAGACGGTCTTTTCCAAAGGACATTGTGTTTTAAGCATAATAACCACTCTTATCTTCATGTTTCCATAGTGCTTAGTGCAGAGCCTCAAACCTGTGCCTTAGTGTGGTTTACCCCTAAAATAGACCTGAGACAAGGATTCATGTGCAGGTAGCCCTCAGTAAGAACCTATAGGGAGATAGGAAATGAGGCAGTCAAGGGAAGGCAGTCAATACAAGCTGTGTTATTGAACAAGTTTCCACTGTGCACAGCTGATGCTTATTCCTGCCACAGAACTCTTGGAGCTGGTGTAGATCACACCTCAGAGCTCTCCCAGGAGTGAGAGGGTGGGAGGGAACTAGGATATTTATACACCAACCCTCATAAGTCATTTGTGAGGGCCACTCTGGAAATTCTGTGCAAGTTACCAAGAGGACTCTGGAAGCCAGAGAAGGCCTTCCAACAAAGAAATGCAGGCGTTAGCAGGTGGCAGTGGACAGGCATACAGTGAAGTGATAAAAGCAAAGGGATAATAGAGGGGCACCAAGAGCATCTGCTACAACCTGGTAGATCTACAGGTTGCTGGGTTCTACTGTGTGCCCAACCTATGCGTATGGAAACATAAAGTAGTAGAAGACACAGTCTTTGACCTCAGGGAGCTTTTCTTCCACACAGAAACTAGAATAATCTAGTGATAAGTGAAGAGTAACTCAGAGAAAGACAGACGATTATGTTAGTGATGCAGTCTGGGAACGCTTCATGAGGAAGGCATTGCAATTCAAGTGTGCTATTCTGACCACCTCCTATTCACCCAGTTGATGAATGCAGGACTCTCCAGCACCAATAGTAGTAGATAACTGAACACACAACACCTCAAACTAGAACAATGAGGGTGAAAGCACTTGGCTGGTCTCATATACTGCCAGCCCAGGGGAGGAGGACACTGCACACCAGGCAGGGTCACGTGGGAGCTGTGCTTGGGAATAGAATGAACCAGCAGGGGATGTGAGCAGCAGGATCTATAGTGACAAGAGGCTGAGGTGACCCTTGGCTCCCATGGGAGGATGTGATTGACTTGTTTGAATGATTTTGCCAACTGGCAGGGAGGTGAAACCCATTAGGTTGAGGATTGGGGGTGCAGCTATTCCCACTGATAGAGGAACTAGCAGGACAAGAGCGTTTCTCACTGGGTGGAGGGATATATCTGGTGAAAACAGAGGAACTCACAGCTAGGCTTTTGGGGCCCTGTAGATGTCAAAGCAGTGTATGGAATTTCAGCCCTTACAATCCAGGACCCTAATAAATAAATAACACCCCTCTTTCTCACTCAGTTTCAAACCAACTGAAAAATAAGGCAAAATGATAAGAAAGATGAATGATGGCCAAACTCTCACTTTTCCTGAGATGACACTAATACTAAATAATGGGCTTGTATCTCTAGGCATGGGGACCACATCCTACTCAGAATTAGATAAACCTGCAAACCCTGACACAGGTAGCAGCAGAAGAGCAAGGTTCATGTGCAGAGGGCCTAGAAGGGATGATATTTGAAGTTATAGAGAACCCAGAAAAAGAGTGTTGACCTCAAGAAGCACACATCCAAGCAGATAGATGGCAACAAAGACTTTGCAGATATCCCTCTTGCCAATGAACGAGTCATGGGAAAAGATGGGTTTAAACAAAATATTATAGCTTCCACCATGCTTTATGTACATTTACCTTCTCAAATAGAATCTTTCAAAAAGCCTGCAAGGTTGTCTGTAAAGTTATTTTTATCTCCCTTTCACAGATGAAGAAACTAAGTCCCAGGAGCATAAGTAATTTATTCAAGAATTTAGGTGCACAGCTGAAATTCAGGGCTTCTGAATAATGCCTAGGCCAGTGTTCTTTATTTTATTATTTAGCTGATGACAACTCTGAATTTTGGAGCATCCTATAGGATAAGGAATTAGAATTTAGGAGTTGACAACAGATTAAGCAGGGCTGTGGAAGTTCTCTTTGGCATTGGTTACTGAGATACTTTTCATGCAAGAACCAGACTGAGAGAGTTATTAAGTCTTGAATTAGTTCTGCATTATCTAAGGACTTTGGACTCAGTATGATAGGCAGAATAATGACGCCCCCAAGATATCCACATCCTAATCCCCAGAATACGTTATGCCTAAGGGGAATTAAGATAGCAGATGGAACTAAGGTTGCTAATTAGCTGGTCATAAAATAAGGACATGAGACTGGATTATCCAGGTGGGCCCAGTGTAATCACAATGGTCCTTAGATGTGCAAGAAGGAGGCAGAAAAGTCAGTGTCAGAGTGATGTGTTGTGGGAAGGGCTTGACTGGTCACTGGTGGCTTTGAACATGAAAGGGGGCCCTAAGCCAAGGAATGCAGGCAGCCCTAGACAAGAAACAAATGAGATTTTCCCCTCAGAGCCTCCAGAAAGGAACACAGTCCTACCAACACCTTGATTTTAGCCCAGTGAGACACATGTCAGACTTCTGACCTCCAAAACTGTAAGATAATTAATTTGTGTTGTTTAAGCCACTGAGTTTGTGGTAATTTGTTACAGCAGCAACAGGAAGCTGATACACTCAGTATCACAGAGAGACAGTGATTGTGAGATGTCCCTGCCCCAGTGAAAGATTGGCTAGCCCATTTGTCCCAATCTCCAGCCCTGTGAGCCTTGCGCTACCCAGGCAAGTCACGCAGGTTAACTTGGAAAAGCTGGGTCCCGTGGATGAGTGAAGAACTCCAGTAAGCACTGCTTATTAATGTATACAGCTAGGGTGTAGCCACTGGTTGGGATGGGATGCAACTTTATCTCATGTCTTCAGAAAGCTGCAAGCTGGGGAGAGCCAGGCTGCCATGTGATCTCCTAATTGAAGTCTATAGAGTCAGAGCTGCCAGTGGGCAAGGGGAAGGCAAGAGCCAATAAAACAATCTTATGACAGACATATTGTCAGGGACAGACAGAAATAACATGGCAGAAGGCCTTCTTGGTCAAGTCAGAAACTTGGAAAGGTGACCAAAGGGTCTTGTTACAATAGAAGGGTAAATTGGATAGAATTTCTACGGGTGGCTTCCTGCTTTTGGTCATAACCTGACTCAAGCTCCAGGTAAGAGGTACATATTCATTTCCAAGGTTGTATTGTTTCTTCCCTACCCCTCATGCCTCTTTTCTTCCTCCACCTTCCTCCACCACCTCTTCCTCCACCTTCCTCCACCACCTCTTCCTCTCACTCCATAAAATGCACAGGAATGATTCCAGGGCACTAAATTACCTAAATAGGTGTTGTTAGGTTTTTCTGGAAAGAAGGTATTCAACCTACACAAATGAGCTCATTTCCCACTAAGGGCTCCAACCTCTTTCCCAGGCAGCGTTGCTCATTGGAAAGAGCAGGATAAAAGTTTTATGCTGTGTGCTGCTTTATGGTGTCAAGGCAACTTTACACACCTTCTCATCTGAGCTTGAGACAGCCAAGGGAGTTGGGTGTAAAAGTTTTGTATCAGGAGCCTGGATTCTGTTCCCTGCACCAAGTGAGCTTGGGCAAGTCATTTACATCTCACTAGATTCCTCAGATTCTACCCTTAGTCCACTCCTGCTCTGTAATGCGGGATGACACCTGAGGGGAGGAGAGAAAAATTCCTAGTCCACAGCTCTTCTTTCACCTCTACACCAGAAGATATTTGGATTGAAGGGTTTTGAAAGAATTATGTTCTTAGGCAGAATGGCAAGCTGGAAAGCCAAGGTGGTATCAATAGGACTTATAATCATGATAGGCCACATGTACATGCCACACCTAGTACATGCCAAGCATTTCACAAACATTATAATATTTAATATTCACAGCAGCCCTGCAAGGTAGGTGTCATTTTATTTCATGTTGCACCTGAGGAAACGAATCTCAGAGAGACTGAGTGATTCACTCCAGCCAAGATTTATTCTGTCTGTTTGACCCAAATCCTGTGCTGTTTACACTAAATCACTCCTCTCCTCCAAATGCCAAATGATGTTGCTAAAATAAGATGAAGCACGTTGATGCTGGAAAATTAAGTACGTGGGGTCATTGTGCCATTTTGTCTGCTACTGTGGGTGTTTGGGTTAGTTAAAAACCAATAATGATTACAAGCACACATCATTATTACTGATAGCTTCCCTCCCCCACCAGATATCTCGCTATCGTTCACCCCTTGAAACCACGGATGAATTATCAAACAGCCTCCTTCCTGATCGCTTTGGTCTGGATCGTATCCATTCTCATCGCCATCCCATCAGCCTACTTCACAACGGAAACCGTCCTCTTTATTGTCAAACACCAGGAAAAGATCTTCTGCGGCCAGATCTGGCCAGTGGACCAGCAGCTCTACTATAAATCCTACTTCCTCTTCATCTTCGGCATCGAGTTCCTGGGCCCGGTGGTCACCATGACCCTGTGCTACGCCAGGATCTCCCGGGAGCTCTGGTTCAAGGCAGTCCCTGGTTTCCAGACGGAACAGATCCGGAAGCGGCTGCGCTGCCGCCGGAAGACGGTGCTGGTGCTCATGTGCATCCTCACGGCCTACGTGCTGTGCTGGGCGCCTTTCTACGGCTTCACCATCGTGCGCGACTTCTTCCCCACTGTATTCGTGAAGGAGAAGCACTACCTCACAGCCTTTTATGTCGTCGAGTGCATCGCCATGAGCAACAGCATGATCAACACCGTTTGCTTCGTGGCCGTCAAGAACAACACCATGAAGTACTTCAAGAAGATGCTGCTGCTCCACTGGCGGCCCTCCCATGGCGGGAGCAAGTCCAGCGCTGACCATGACCTCAAAGCCAGCGGCCTGCTGGCCACAGAAGAGGTGGATTGTATCAGGCTGAAGTGACCCACTGGTGTTTCGTAATTGAAAATCCAAAAGCCAGTACTTAGAGCACAATTCACCAATAACCAAGTTCACAGACTGCTTGGGGAAAGGGCAACTGTGTTCACACCTCACTGCTCTCAAGGAGCTGGATGCTTCTGGAGTCATAAAATGTGATGCAACTAGACACAAACCACAGCAGCTGACATTTACTGATAGCTGCTCAACACCTACTGTGTGCACAACCACACCAGCGAGATTAGATAAGGGCAACAGGAGCTGACATTTACTGATTACCTACCGTGCAAAAATATTTAAATAGCAAAATGAAATGGCAGAAGCCATTGGAGTCATTAAGCTATATCCAGATATTTAGGTGGTCAAACAGAGGCCACAGATGGTTATCTAGACTCATTCTTCATCTTCCCTCATTTTATATCTGGCCAGTGCAGGAAAGTCAAAGCCTACAGAATGCAGCACAATGGAGATAAAAGGGTGAATTAGAGTGTGGGGTTTACAGCCTCATGGGAAGACAATTCACGCCATCACACTGAGCTTTCCCACCCAGATCTTATGACCTCCCTAGAATATTCTCTAGGATTCTGGCTGCCAGAAAAGAATTTTTCTCATAACCAGGTCATTGGTTATCTATAATGGTGTAATTTCAAAGGAAAGAACCAAAAAATTTTCTTTTCCACTGATGCTTGAAAACTCATCATTCTTTTGGGTGAAGACAGACAATCCTGAAATGAGGAGCACATCCAGTTCCTGAAACCTTAATGTGAAGGATGTCAGCAGCTCTAGTGTCAGTGAGTAAGGGGACAGAGAAAGGGGTGGAGTTTGCCACTGGCAATGAACGTAATCTGTGTGGCCATTTTGCTAAGGCCTGGGCCACTTTTCTAGAACACACCCTCTCTTGCAAAGATGAGCTCTACTTGGAATCCAAAGACCTGGGTTCAAGTCCTAACTCATGTGACCTAGATGTTTACTGTCTCTGCATCTCAGTTTTGTTCAACGAAACAAAGATGATGAAAATATTTTCTCTGCCTGCCTTACAGGACTGTTGGGCAAGCCCACTGAGGTCATAGTTTGTAAAAGTGCTTTTCAACTATACAAGTGATGAGAATGGATAAGAGATATTGAATGATTTGTTTGGACCCCATCCACTGTGGCTTATTATGGAGAAACACTCCCACTTTTTCATCCTTAGTCTATGGACCAGTGATCCCTGAACTCTTCTCAGTGCAGTCCATCTACATCAGGGCAAAAAAGGAATCCTTGTCCTGGGTTATAATCAGAAAGATTCAACTTCAGAGTCTCAGTTACCCACACCCCACTCCAAACTTTCAGTATCCCTGTGGTCATAGAAGTGTTGATAGTCTTCCCTGCATGTTGCTAAACAGCACACCCCAGGGCTGCCTAAGTCTGTTTGTATTATCACACACCTGTGGTAATTGTGTGTAGTTGTCTTCATTTCTTCCTGATTCATTTTGAAGCAGAGTCTATACAAATGGTTTGGGATTGACCCAAATGACCCACATTTGGGCAATTCCTGCTCTTCTATAGTGAAGGGGTTATTTAGTTGTTTGCTTGTCTGTGTGTGTATGTGTGTGTGTTTAATTAATTGTTGGTGTTTTTAATCCAACAGTGATGTTTCAACCAACATTTTCCTCCATCACCACCCAGCATGTTCACCTTCAGCCCAATCATTGTGCCCTCAGAAAATGCAAACTCACTTTAACATTAGGCTAAGCCAAATTGTTTATAAATTCTGATTAGACAAAATTACACAATGCATTCTAAAGCCAAGCAAGTAAATATTTTGGGGTTATCTGCATTTTCACAAATATGATAACTGCATTTTTATTTATTACCCCTGTCCTGACTCTTCTCCTAAAGATGATTCTTTAAGAGTAGACTGTACCAATTGTGTCTGTCAAAAGAATTCAGTCCCTTTTTCCTTTTTATACTAAAACATACCATCCTCCCTTCATTTAAATTTAACTGAAACAACTTTTGTAACTATTGGTGAGATTTGTGATTTTCCAGTGAATTAAAGTGTTATGCTGTTATCAAATGAAATTATTAACATATGGAATCTTAACCACACTGTTGAAGCATTTTCCCTGCTAATCTTCTATATGTTAGTATATTTAGATATCAATGAAGTGATAGCCATTTAAACAATTCAACCTTGCAACAGAGAAGGAAGTTCTTGAAGGCATTTTTAGAACAGTGGCAGCTCACACCAGCAACGAGCCTTATCTTGGTCATGTCCCTCAAGCTGCCAGCCCAGGAGTGTACTCATGCATGCAAATAAATCAAAGAACCGCTACTCCATGTTCACGTTACCCTTTCATTTTAAAATCATCTTGTTTGTTTAATGAAAACTGCTGTTTGCATGGAGACTGTTCATTCCTCTAACTGGTGTTAACGTAATAAATTAATTGCACTTGTGTTTACACTTTTCTTTTCAAGACTAATTAATGCTAAGCTTAAGATACTTTTAATGCACTGAGATATATAAACATTCATATATACTATTATATATTGGAAATTTAATCTCCTTTGGCAAAATGGATCCATTTCCTTGGCCAGAATAAGAGAAGGATGGCTTTATGATGAAGCTATTAGATTTTTCTTTCAGCATCCAACATCAAAAATAAGTTGATTCTCAAGTTGAAATCAAAAGATGGCTTCAGGCCCTTCATGGATAAAAACCAATTGCAGACTTCTGAAGGAAAAAGTGACACATGGGAGGTGGTTAGAAGACTTAAGGTAGTTCTATTTCTAGGGGAAATTTTTGGCTTTGAATCATATCTCCTCAATTTAACCATTATCTCTCCCTTGGGCTCAAGAAAACACACACACATGCACACACACACACACACACACACAACTACACCTCAATGGGACACCAAAGCAGGAAAAGGCCTTTTAGGACATGTAACTCAACTCACTCCTTTCTTAGGTGAGAAGATCTGAATTTCAAATGAGGAAATGACTTGCTTAAGGATGCACAGCTAACACTAACATTTGCTGGAGCCACAACATTGCCCCAAGGTCTCACTCTGGTCTAGTGAGCTGCATTCAGTAACTGCCCTCCTGTGTCTAAAGGAGGGGACTTCCTCTAAGAATGTTTAAAGCGCCATTTAAACTGGTTTCTGACCTCCTGGGAGAATCTTAATCTGCACAGAAGATACCTTCCTTCCTTCTGGCAAGCAAAGAGTGCATCCATCCAAGGGACTTCATAATCTAGACCCCAGGCTTCCAGAGAAATCAGAATTACACCAGGGTCACTCTAGCGCTCCTGCCTGTCTTTTCTCCTATTGAGAGAAATGCCCCCTCAGGGAGAGGTCTGAGCACATTTGGCTTGAACATACATGGAACTATTTAGATGTGGTGCTGGAGCCATGTGGGAAAGCAGATTATGAAGAGGGGACCCTGGCCCTAGGAAAAGTAAGCGGTGGGGAAAAGGGCTTTCTCATATTCAAAGGCAAAGCAAGTCCAAGGCCAGAGTGTGCAATCATCACACAAATTCCAGCTGGCTGATCCTGAGCAGTGGTCCTTCTTCGTGCCTCCCAGGAACCAAATGCCTTCTGGTCACCAGGTCAGCCTCTCTCCTGAGGTACACCAACCAGGCTACACATCACCTCCTTGGGTTGCTTGAACCACTTACTCCTTTACAGATGCTTAAAGAGCTCCAAATACAGGACAATATTCCCAAGAGATAAGCTGGTGTGAAAAAAAATGGGTTTGGCACTTTCTTCAGATATAACAAATTGGCGGGAGGTGAGGGATTCATTGGAACTTGAAAAGAATAAGTAGTTATTGAATAGAGGGAAGTAGGCAGGGGTTTGCCTCCAAGAAGCAGGTGGTCAGCTCTTGGAACAGAATGTCATATAGATGCAGGGTCTTTCCATCCCTTTGTTAACTGAATTTCCACGTATGAGTCACAGGCTGAGATGAAAGAGGTCATCTCCAGAATCTCATTTAATGCTGACTGTAGGTTACCAGCTCTGGATCCAGCTCCTAGGCAGGTTCTTGACACAATACTTTGACTGAACTCTGCAGCAGGGATGGTCCAGTGTGTGCAGAAGAAGGTCTTCCGCCCACTCAGCCAGTCTCTGTGCTGGCTCTACAAAAATGGGAGTGCAAGCCTGAATCTGAAAGTGACTCTTGAAATGATATATGATTAATTCCATGTTGAGGTTGAGATACTGTAAGCACAAAAATGGAGAGAATTTAGAAGACAGATTCCTTCCAGCCATGGGAATCAGAGAAACTTTGGAGTAGGGAAGTAGTTAGGCAGAGCTCTGGAAGATGGAGAATGGTGGGAAGAGGGTATTCTAGGCAAAGAGGACAGAATGAGCAAAGACATAGAAGAGGAGAAATGAGATAGAATATAAGTGGAACAGAAAATAGTTTGATTTGACAAACACATAGAATGCAGAGTGTTTAAAGGGAGAACAAACTCCAGCAGCAGGATGAAGAAAGAAGCGTACTGAAAGAGCCTGGGATTCACAGTCAGAATCATGTTCAAATAGTAATTCATACTTAACCATGTGAATTTTACTATACCCCTTACCCCTTCATCTATAAAATAGGAATGATAATAGTACTTACATCATAGGATTATATGTGGTTCAAATATATATCTTAGAAAAATGCCTAGCACAACATAAGCAGTCAATAATATTAGCTGTTATTTTTAGAATGATTAATTCTGGGAACAGAATTTCTCCTAGAGGAATCCAGAGTATTGTGTCACATATAATGGATATACTATTTGGGAATTATTCAACCAGAGTATTTTCATCTTCTGTGACTCCAAGTCTCTAGCCATCTTGGACTCCCAACTGTACCTGGCCAGTTCAAATCACAGGATATCTTCCATAGCATAAAGAAGATGCCCTTCCATCATTGAGACTGAACCAGAAAGATAAATGACCCTCAGGAAGGAGACAATGATGTAGGGGAAGTCCCTTCCACACAGGAAGAAGGAAACAGCGCCTACCCCTTCCAGTCCCCATGGCTGTGGGAAAGAAAGAAACAAGTTAAAGACCAGATGCATTTGTCTTTGCTTTCTCCTTCAGGGTCTAAATCTAGGTGGTGGAGGTAAGGATGCAATAGAAGCACCTAAGTAATAGAGAAGCCTAAGATCATGGGGCATGGAGGCACCAATGAAACACTTGCCCAGGTTTCACTGGGGGAGGCCCTAGACCTCTAAGAGGAGCCCAGCAGTGGAGGAAGCTGCAAGACAGGGGAGTCTGATGTAGCACCTTGATACCTCACAACAAGCAGTGAGGTGTAGGGATCCATAAATTCGCATGTGCCCCACTTAGGGGTCACAGATGGATGGACAGAAGCCTGGGGTTGGGTCTAAAAGGCCATTTTGTGTGAGACCTTTGCAATCAAGTACAAATAGCCAGAACCATAGACTCCAAAAGACTAGTTGGAAT